TCATTATATATTTGATATAGCCAGAGAACTAATCAGATTCAAGGGTTTATATCAGGGGACTCAAAATGACTCCCTCTAGGCCAAACCCAATCCCATACAAAGTTTATTTGTCCAGAACAGCGCATAAGTGTATGTCTGCAGGCAAGGCGTGCCCTCTCTAGCCTGCCGTGGTGCCTCCACATCAATGCTGCCCTACAGAGAAGCCAGCACCCAATTCCCATACACATCTCCCATCAAGGAGCCCCTGGGATAGAAGGCAGCAGATTATACTAATTTTTCCCAGTGCTGATAACAATGACTACTCTTCCCACACATATATTTTCCTTTATTTGTTATTGTGAGATCTTTTTACCTATCCCTATTATTTTAAGAGGTCTTATAATATTTTCTTTCCAGTCTTTCCTTCCACTCTTCATCATACATTCCTTTCCACTATTCACTTGGCCACAAATTCCAATTGCTTTGGAGCCTGGCCCTGTCCACAGTTTTTGTAGAGAGGGTGCCAGCTTGAATCATGAGATGTGACTTTATTCTGGACTCTGCCCTCGAAAAGCTATGCGATGTTGGGCAGGTCAGCTTGGAGCCCCAGCACCCACTCGTCCATCCCAAAGTGAAGAAATAGGAATAGATGACCCACTTCCCTATCAACTGTCACATGTTGCACTTCTGTGGTTTATTTATTTATTTATTTGATTACAATCCAAATAGAAGAAAATGTCAGAAGAAAAGTAACATTCACTTCATTTACTCAACGGTTATTAGTTGAACAATGAGTAAGTTCTGGGCTATAGCAGAAAGATGGATGACGTCACTGGCTCTGCTAGAGGGAGAGAGTAAGCAAATCAACAAAGATTATTATGTCAGGTTGCGATACACTCTATAAAGGAAAGGATGCGTGGTCACTTCATAGAGAGCCACTGAGTAATGACTGTTGTGGCCAGAGAGGGCATCTCTAAGAAGATGACATCTGAGCTGTGACCTGAGGCTGAACTTACTGACAGGCTGTGGAGATGCAGGTAGGCAGCAGGAATTCAGAATCACTCTTGGGTTTCTGGACAGAGGGGCTGAATGGACACCGTGTCACAGAGTTGTTGTAGTAGATCCTCAGTCATAAGCATCAAGTCCAACAGCCCTTATGGTCTTCTCCTAACATTGCCCTGCTCACCGTATAGACACAGTGTTGACAGCTCTGTTCTTCCATTCAGTATGTGTTTATTAATTGCCTACTATGGGCAACTTTTAAAGTAACATGGCTATTTGGTTAATTTTAGTATAGTTGGTTTAAACAGCTTAAATTGGAGTCCACTCCATCAGTAATCTAAGTGACTGATGAAATGAATTCTTTTCTTAGCATTGGCAGGCTATTTGCAACAAATGAAGATGCCTTAGTTTCATGCCAGCTGTGAGAAAATAATTTTGGTTCTCAATCTGTAATATTCTATAAATTCACAGTGATAAGGCTTGGGAATGTCTTGCCCTTGTCCAGCTGTACAGCTCAGCTCTTAACTGAAAATTTTGTTTGCTAGAGAGGAAAGGCACACATTCAGAGGGTTCCTCTGGTGTCTGTTAGTAAGGGATATACTCAGTCTGGTCAGCTCCTTAGAACTGAATGCAGGGACAGGTCTGAGTATGCTCTGCACAGTGTTTTTATTTTTTTAGTTTTTTAAAAATGTGTATTTATTTTAGAGAGAGAGAGAGGGAGGGAGAGAGAGAGAGAGAGCACACGAGCAGGGAGAGGGAGAGAGAATTCTCAAGCCGACTCCCCATTGAGCACGGAGCCTGACAGGAGACATAGAGGGGTAGGGGTGGGCTCAATCCTAGGACCCTGAGATCATGACCCAAGCTGAAATCAAGAGTCCACAGCTTAGCCCACTTAACCCAGGCACCCTATGCACAATGTTTTTAAATACTCAAACCTCCAGGGATGCCTGGTTCGCTCAGCGGTTGGGCATCTGCCTTCTGCTGAGGGCATGATCCCGGGTCAGGGATAGAGTCCCACATCAGGTTCCCTGTGAGGAGCCTGCTTCTCCCTCTGTCTGTGTCTCTGCCTCTCTCTCTGTGTCTCTCATGAATAAATAAATAAAATCTTTAAAAAAAATAAACAAATCAATAAATATTCAAACCTCCAGCTGAGATCACTATCTAGTAAGCCTCCAGTTGTATGGAATTATGCTAATGAATTATCTGAGATCCTTCATAACTGAGGCAAAAGAAAAGTGAAGCCTGTTTAGCTGGCTTGAAGGGGGAAAAAAATGAAATCTTGACCAACTCCTGACCAATGTGTGTCCTAAAACTCAAAAATTTGGTTCTTTTATTCCACTTATGAACCCTGATTTATTCAAGTGTATAAATATTTCTGCTCTTTTAGGATTATCATTTTAAGAGTCTTCAGATAAACAGGTGCAAAGTCATTTACTGAGTTTGGCTCACTTCCAAATAGCAAAAGCTTCATCTAGACTTTGAACATTTTCAGCTGCCATTTGTGGATAGTTCTGCTCATTTCTACAAGAGCAAGGGTGGAATCCCGAGCTCATGTCCCAAGTTCACTCCCAGCTTCAGTCACGTGAATGGTTGCAGCTGGAAAGTTGTACTGGAAAGTTATCTACTTTTCATGGCTTGAGTGGCTCACACTCCTCACACTCCAGATCCTCCTCACACTCCAGATCTCACCTCCCAAGACTCCTCAAATGATGGCTATTGTACCAGAGTAATAGGGTATCAGGTAGATGCCTTTTCCCATTGTAGGCAATTTTGCTGAGGCCCAAAGAAACTGGGAAAAGTCACTACCACACCCAGCAGCTGGACTCAGCCACCTCCCCCCAGGGTTGATGGAGATGCACCAATTTGAGAACTGAAAGTTCTGCTCCCTAACCTACCCACCTCTACCACCATTTGTTATGACAGTATAAGATGACCAGGTGTTCTCCTCTCCCCAAATTCTGGACAGGAAGGGAGTCTTGCCTCCCCTTTCCTCTGTTTAAATAGATCAGATCCACCCCAGACTGAACAAGGGAAAAGAATATGGAAGAGAGCTGGCAGGGCTGAGGTGGGTGGTAGAGGGGCACCCTATACACACACGATTTGGCATGAGTTTCCCTTGGAAGGAGGGTCATTAGGACTGGCTGCCTCTCTGACAGTCCTCCACAGAGCTAGCCACCTGCTGGTGGAGGGATTGCTGCTCCCTCTACTTGGAAAACTGTGTGATGCACAGCTCCTTCTGGTCATTCATTGCTCAGTTCAAACATCATCTCTTCAGAAAGGCTTCTGCCCTCTGGATCTTAAGCTCCAGAACAAGACTATTCGTTTAGTTAGGGGAAAATGTGGAGCATCTTGGAAAGGATCTAGGGTGTCCATTTTATTACCATGGGATAGTCCTCAATAGCATCCGTTTGAAGCCTAGAAAATATAGGCTTCGTCTCAGATGTCTGGGCAGTAGAAGAATAGAAAGTTACTAAAATAAAGGAAGTACTTATGGATATTTCAGTTTGAAGATTCAAGAAATTTAAATACTGAAGAAAGTAGAGAAGATTGTTAAACAATTTATAGGTCAGGACATCTCCATTCCCACCCCTCTTGGTTATGTGTGTGGGGAGGGACAAGTGATATTTGCTACCAAAAAAAAAATTGTTTTTCTTACTAAGAAGCTGAAATCACTTTTACCAAGATGAAATATTTCTTAATGCATGTAATTTTGTGTAGACAAGTAAAATATCTGGTGTTTTTTGTCTGACTCTTTAATGACACTCTTGAGGCTAAAATTTGTACTTTGAAGGTTAGCTTATCAGACCCAACCTTCCAGGTGACATTGGCTTTGTTTGGTGTTTGATGCCCATTAAAGATTAAGCAAATCCATTGAACACTTTTTTCCATAAACTTTATCATCTCTCAAGCACACATTGGTATTTTTATCATGTCACATGCTTACTGTCACATTGTTACTGCATTCCACAAATGCCAATCACATTAATACTTGGTTTCTGTGGACAATTTAAAATAGTTTGGATATTACTTGGACTGTTTTGTTTTGGAGGCAGAAAGACAAGCCATAGTCAGCATGTAAAAATCACAGGACTGTGCATGTATGGAAGAGTTTTATAGATTACATAGCTATAGAAGCAGATTCAGCATGTATGTGCAAATATAGTTTTGAAAATAATGCATACCAGCATATTCCATCGTGAACCTTTCATCTGCACTTTGTGCTGTGGGTCAATATGATGTTCATTTTCTGTGATGCCTGTTCTATAAGTAAATCACATTTGGTCTTTTTTTTTATTCATTAACTTTTGTCCCCCATATATTATTTTGTATAAACTAAAAAGTAATCATCAGTGATAAAGAACAGGTGCTTCATCAGTTGCATGGGAGACTTAGAAAAAGTGCCTAGACTTTTGAATGTGCCTACCTAAATTTTTCCATAACTGGTTTCTTGGTATGGCCCTTAATATACATTAATTCATAATTTAGGTTCTCTATTGAATGTGACAGTCAATTCCTCTACCGACCGGGTGGACCATTATTTCAACATTGGCATTTTTATTTCATTTGTAATACAAGGGAAGCCAAAAGAAGATTTGGGTAGTACACACATGACTAGTTTATTTAAAATATGTTCAGAATCTACCAGATTCTTCAAAAGGATTCTTAAGCTCATTGCAGATGAATGGGGGAAATGTTGAGTATCATACTTTTTGTTCCTTGCATGACAGCATGCAAACATTTTGGTACAATACAAACTACTAATTTGGCTGACATTCCATGTTAAACAAACTAGATTACTTGGTGCAGTCAACTCTCGGTCATATGCCTGGTTGAACCCTACCCTACCCTGTACTTCCTTATCCCTTTTTCTTCTGTTTTCTTTTTCTACGTAGCATTGACTACCATCTGGTATGTGATTCACATTTGTTTATTGCTTGTTATCTTTTTCTCTCCTGCATTCTCCCTGGGAAGGCAGAGACTTTTGCCTGTTTTATTCATTTTTTTTCTCCTGCTCCTAGGACAGTGCCTGGCACAGAGCATTGGAGACAACCAATAAATACTTGTTGAATTCATGAGAGAAAGAATGAACGTGGGCTTCATCACCAGGAGGGGTAGGTTTTTTTGTTTGTTTTTATTTTTTATTTATTCATGAGAGACAGAGAGAGGCAGAGACAGGCAGAGGGAGAAGCAGGCTCCCCGCAGGGAGCCCAATGTGGGACTTGATCCCAGGTCTCCAGGATCACGCCCTGGGCTGAAAGCAGCACTAAACTGCTGCACCACCCGGGCTGCCCTAGGAGGGGTAGGTTTAACACTGACTTACCCCACTTACTGGTTGCAACCTGGGAAAATTTCTTATTTTTAAATTATAAATAGATTTTTATTTTTCTGATCACACACACACACACACACGTGTGTGTATATATATTTATTTATATGCTCATGATGAAATATTCAGAAATACAGAAAAATATGGAAAATGGTAAAAAGAAAATAATAATCCCAACCCCCAAAAGTTAATATTCTCATATATAGCCTCTAACCACTGACCTTGGTTTCCATTCATGAGGAATTGCAAGCATAGCAGCCATTTGGTGGAACTGTGAGAGATAATGTGCACAGAACGACCGCCCCTCAATGGTATTCTTTATCTGGATGGAAGGTAAGCATGATATTCCTCCAGACACATAGGACACACTCTCTAATTTTGAGAGACAAGTTCAAGAAAATTTAGCTACAATTTCAAAGATTGATAAGAATTAATGTTATAGAAAATAGTCATCATCAGATAAAGCTAAAGTGGGAGGAAGAGGGTCCTCCTTTAAAAAACAAATACATAGGCAAATAAATTAAGTAAATATTTTAAGATGTATACTCTCTACCAGGCTTTCTGTTTATTGTTTTCAGGTACCTTTGCATTTTAGCTTCATTTTAACTATGTTACTATTATTATTCTCAGTTTAAGTATGAAACAGAGAAAGAAAGAGATTTAGGCAGTAACCTGTCCAGGTCATAGGGCTTGAAAGTGAGGAAACCAGACCATCAACCCTGGATGTGACTGCAGGGTCCTTATTTAGAGCATTTCAGAACACTAACCAGTAATGAACATGTTACAGACGTATGGAGGTCTACGTGCAATGAAGAAGGATGCAAAATAGGGATAGCATCCAGAGGATCCAGAGGATATGGGTCATGATCAATAGGCATGAGCATTCTCTTCCATTCTGCTATCAACTGGTGATACTCAGTTGACTTTTATTGATATGAATCTGCCCTTTAAGTCCTGATCAGAACTAGGTGAACTGATGAAAATATTGTTCCTTGGACTGCAACGTTCAGTTTCAGACCTTGGATTTAAAATGACTGTACTAAAGTCCAGGTCCCCGCTGAGGCCAAGACTGGGCAGCTGCCCTGTCTCAGCAGTGGCGTCATTGCCATTGATAAGACATTTCTATATTCCCCAGCTGGTTTTTGTTATGTGATAGGGAAATAAGAAAGATGATTGGAAAATATTTAGCTATGATCAAAACAGAATTTTATGCAGTGATTAGAATTTAATTCCTCATATGTCTGGTCACACTGATGACCAGTCTGATTAGAAGCTGAAGCATCCCAGGAGAGCTCTAAATGTTGTCTCCCCTGCTTCACAGCCCAAGCCTCAGGCTTTTTGAAGACACATTCTAATGATTGCTTGCTGCTTCACTAAGATTCCAGTATCATTTATAACATGAGTCCAGGACCCTGCCTTCCATTCTTCATGGCTCCCTTCACTTGAATGTTGCTATTAGTGTTCTTGACCTTGGGCCATACCTTGTTGTACATAAATTCAGAACTTGAACTCCTTTTTTTGACATTGCATATCCAGAGGGAAGAAATATTGTTGCAAGAAATAAAGGAACTTTGAGGTCAGGCTAACTTGGACTGTAATTCAAGCCTCACATTCTCTAGCCATGCAGACTTTGACTTGTCTTGAGAACCAATATTTTTTCCTCTGTGAAAGGGAAAATACCTCTGATCCTGCTCACTAGTTGGGACTAAATGAAATGCTGAGTGAGCAAAGCTCTGTGGCAGTGCTGAGACATTTTAGGCTCTCAGTAATCTTAGCCTTTTTTTCTCCAAGCTTTACTGATGATTTTCCAGACCAGCAAACTATTTCTGCGAAGGACCAAAGGGTAAATATTTTAGGCTTTTCCGTACAGACTCTGTCACAACTATTCAATCAGGTCAGTAAAGCTCATTAGCTATGTAAATTGGCACCAGGTTTGTACGTGAGCATTGCATTCCACAATCAAACTGCAACCCAATATTAGAATAACCATAATTCAGTCCCTAAGAAGTGCTCTAACTCTCTGTTTCTCTTATAAATCTCAGGTACAAATACAAATTAACAGTTCCTTTCTACCTTATTCTGCTTTTAATTTAGAGGAACATCTACAAATGGCTCTGGGATGGAATCAATTTTCCTGAAATCTATCCAGCTTTATAGTCTTAGGACTACATTGCTGGTATATAAGTTTCATTTTTAAAAAAGATTTTATTTATTTATTTATTTATTTATTTATTTATTTATTTATTTATTTATTTATTTGAGGGAGATAGCATAAGCAAGGGAGAAGGGCAGAAGGATAGGGAGAAGATTCCCAGCTGAGTGGGGAGCCTGACAAGGCTGACGCAGATCAATCCCAGAACCCTGAGATCATGACCTGAGCTGAAGGCAAAGGCTTAACCAACTGAGCCATCCAGGCACCCCTATAAGTTTTCTACTGACAGAATGACTCCTTTTCATGGCAACACAAAAGTTGGGGGGGCGGGAGCTACTTTAGGTGTATTTTAACCAAGAAGCCAAACTGGCCAGAAAAATAATCAGAGAAAGAAATGCATGTCTATATGCCTTATAAGATTTATACAAAGTTTTACAAAAAATAAATAAAGCACAAGAGCTCACAGAGGAGTGTAATTTGACTTTTCACATTTAAAGAGCCTGCACAGATGAAAGTCATGTTGTGCAATGCCTCCTTCTCCAGGGTCAGCTAAAAAAGTAACCCTAGCTGATATTGAGATCAACACCAACTACCACAGCATTTCTTTCTTCGTTCTTGGTTATACAATTAATTCATCACGGCTAGTGAATAGTCCTGGAGATATCACTATGGCAGAGAAAAAAGATGATGCCTTGGGCTTAATATAATGTTAAATAAGCAGGGCTAGCAGTGTCATAGAAAACATCTACCCAGCACCTTCTAGATGCCATTTCACCTCCAAAAGAGTCCTTCAAGATATTGTCCTCATTTTGCATTTAAAAATACTAGGGCTCAGAGAGTTTATACTCTTCTGCCCAAATTCACCTAAACGGTGGATATCAAGCTGGACTTGAAATCCTCAATTTCTCAGCTATAGATAACCATTCTGCTTGTACAACAATAAAGATGCCCTTTTCAAAGACTAGGAAAATAATTAAATAGCATAGTACCTTGGGAAATCCTACTGTCTCTTTGTTTTCTAATTAGAACTGATTTTACTTGATCATCAGTCTTCAAGGAAACAGTCTTTAATTCAATTGTGCCTAATACATTTCTGTTCAAATAACTGTTTCGGCTACATTGTAGGTCCTATAAGCTTTCCTGAACTAGTCTGAAAATCTATCTACCCTTTAAATTTATTGTCCCTATGATAAGTCCACCAAATTGCTGAGGCAACTCACTTATTAATACTCATTTAGAGTAATGTTCAATTACATGTTACGGATTTCCAATGTCAATCATCAAATATTGCCAGAGTGTCACACAAAGTATTAAAATTTCCACATTACAGTTATATCCATTCATTTTTATTAAACTTTTAGTAGTCCTGAATGGCTGTAGCTTATAAATAGTCAAGATGGGACCAAAAGTGAAGATTAATGTGAATCTCAGCGTTGACTGTATTGGGAACTACATGAGGAGCTTTTTTTTTTTTTAAGATTTATTTATTTATTTATTTATTTATTTATTTGAGAAGGGTGGGGAGAGAGGAGGGGCAATGGGAGAGGAAGAGGATCTCAAGCAAGACTCCACACTGAGTGCAGAGCTGGATGTAGGACTTGATCTTGAGACCCTGAGATCACAACCTTAGCTGAAACCAAGAGTCAAGCGCTTAACCAACTGAGCCACCCAGGTGCCCCAACACCAGGGGAGCTTTAAAATGCACAATGTCTGGATCTAATGCTTAAAGATTCTGATATAATTTGGGTTGAAGCCTTGGTATCAGATATCGAGCTTCCTGGGTAACTCTAAAAAGCAACCAAGATTAAAAAGAAATAATAAAAAAAAACAAATATTCTGTAGAAAAAAATAATACCCCATAAAAAGGACACTAGGAATGGACCCTAATGTAAACTACGAACTTCTAGTGCTTACCATTTGTCAGTGTAGGTCTATCAATTGTAGCAAATGCACCACTCTGCTGGGGGATGTTGATAAAAAAAGGTAGGCATATGTGAGGGCAGGGGACATAAAGAAAAATCTCTGTAACTTCCTCTCAGTGTTGTTATGAACCTAACTAAAACTGCTTTAAAAGAAAAGAAGCCTTTAATTTTAAAAAGGATACAAAATAAATATTTTGAAAGGATTTTTTTCTTTAACTTGGTTATAGGAAATGTAAATATATATAGAAATATGACTAGGAAAATATTTAGTCAAGATAATAATTTAAGCAGTTCTTTTAATTTTAAAGACTTTTTATGTGACACATGAAAGCATACTTTTAAAAAGTCATGCCTACATGTGCCAGAACTTGCTAAGTGTCCTACATCTGTATTTCATGTAACCAAATTATGCTTAAAGGAAAATGTATGGCTTGTAAGTGTATATATTAGAAAATAAGGAAAACAGAAAATAAATGAATCTAGCACAAAACTCAAGAAACCAAAAAATAACAAAGAAAATCAAAGAAAAAAGATAATGTAGGAAGGAAACAATGCAGATAAAGGCACAAACCATTCAAATGAGAGAAATCTAAAGAAAAAGTGAATAGCAATTAAAAATGAAAAGTTGAGGGATCCCTGGGTGGCTCAGTGGTTTAGCACCTGCTTTCGTCCTGGGGCGTGATCCTGGAGTTCCAGGATCGAGTCCCACAT